CCGAAATTCCAAAATTTTAAAGGCCTGGATACACGTTCACATTTCTAGCTATTTCCGATCAAATGGTGTCTGGTGCGCACCATCTACCATCAATTTTTTGTGGCCTGTAAAAATTTGATGGTAGATGATGGAACTGTGGGTCTCGTCCGTCATCTGATTTCCACACAACCGTGCTGAGTTCATGCTTATTTCAATCAACACGCCGTTTTAATTAATTTTAGATGTCAAATTAGATAACCCTCGACCGCCATTTTTGTCATAATTTTGATCGGAAATCGACGGAAATTTGAGCGTGTATCCAGGCCTTAACTAAATTACGAGGAAAAAAATTGGTGCTAAAAATCCAGCCTGATGCGGCCATGAGTAACGGGGTGGATTACGTTATCGGGTGGCAGATTGGTCCAGGGCTGAATCTTGTAAATTCCGCACAGCGCACTCTATACGAACGCGGATCCTGGACAGTGGCGATTCTTGAAAGTTGGCAACACTGTTTTTCCTCCCTTTATTGCATGTAAAACAATCGAATCAGTGATCAATCGATTTCTTGAAATCGATATTTTAAATGGAAGAAAACAGTGTTCCTAACTTGCAAAATCGCCACTGATCGTGGCTGCCATCTGTTTCCTCCTACCGCTTCACAATTGATCAGAGCCGCCGCCCCCGCCCCGCCCCCCGGGTTATGCAGTTGCGGGACAGGTCTGCACCCTTCCTGAAGATTTCACAACGCTCTGCCTCTGCTCGACCCCTCTCCCTTTCAAAATGCCGTTTTTGATGAAATTTCAAAGAAAAAATTCCATCTTCAGGGTGTCTCCAAGTCCGGAATTTCCGGAAACTCCAGAAAAGTACTGATTTCTCATATGGCGAAAATAGCAGGGAAAATGGCGAAAACGTCCGGGAAAATGGCGGAAACGTCAGGAAAAAATTGTTCAGTCACCTTTATTTGCTTTCTAGAATGGGTTTAACGTTTCAAACAACCAATTTGCGTGAAAACCATTTCTAATTATGTCCTTTTAACCATCTGGCATATCTTCAGTTGTCAGGGAGTTTCGCCAAAATTTGTCAAGGAAATTAGGGAAATGTCAGGGAATTACATTTTCTAAATTCTACGGCAGCCTTGTTTAGATGAACTCACGAGGAGTCTGCGAAGCGGACCTTCGAGGGTGCTTAGCGCCCTCTGGGGGTTGAGCCACGTAGCTGCCAAGGAGCGTACCCCCTAGTGAATTTAATTTAATTCAAGCAGAGATATTCAAAACTAACCTGGACGTGGCATCGTTGGGCTCGATACATACGCGTCACAGGTTTTTCTTTTTCTCTTTTTTTTCTTTCCCTCCCCCTTTTTTTCTTCTTTTTTTTATTATACCTGTGCGCGCCTCACCTTCGCAGGAGAAGGAGGGGGAAGATGTGGCGGCGGCGGCCCGTGGCAGCGTCGCCGGATCGGTTCGGAAACTCGTGGACTCGGCCTCGCGCAATCCTCGGAGCACGCACGTTTTGGCAACGGTGTCGATTACTCCCCGACAGCGTTGCCGGCTCGCCTTTGGAATCGTGGTTTCCCGCGCCTGTTTGAACGGGGAATTCCGGGAATTTCCCGCGACTCGGCAGCGGTGACCCGCGGTCGTCAACTCCTCGACTCCTCCGCCGCGCCGCAGTTTGGCGGGATTCGAATCCGCGCCGCCCGCGGTGTTGCCGCTGTCGGGAAATTCCCGGAAAATCGAGATTTTCGGCGAGAGCGAAGTTCGTGTCAAGGTTCTGAGCCTCCTCTGCAAGTTCTGTTCGGTTCTGTGTCGTCGATCACCAGTAGGAATCGACACTGGCTGCCCACAAATCCGACCGATCGGGCCCAACACTGAAAAAAAAAAAAACACATTGGATCTTGAGTCCGGACTCTTGAAAACATTGACAAGAAAAAATGCTCTTGATTCAATCAGATTTAAGCTTTAATCAAAAGGAAATCCGCTCAAATTAAGAGGCTTGGTTCCTAATCTAAGCAAAAATCCGATTGAATCAAGAGTATTTTTTCTTGTCGATGTTTTTAAGAGTCTGGACTCCAGATCCAATGTGTGTGTGTGTGTGTGTTTTTTTTTTTTTTCCAGTGAACGCTTTTCACCAAGTCGAACTTTTTCAAGGGCCAACTCCAGAGGCGGTCACAAGATCACGCATCATATAAGTTTTGCGATCCGTCAGTCTCCGAGTTCGAGTGTAGTTCTGAACGTTAGAATAAAATTAGCCTGAGACGAAGGAGAAGACAAGTTAAATTATTCGGCACGTTCTTGGAAAGACAGTGAATTTTGCTGCAGAATCTTGAATTTTTTTCTTCCAGCCGAAGCACTGCAATTTTTATGTTCCAAAGCCCTGAAAAGTGAGAAATTATATGTTCCTATATCCTGAAAAGTCAGGGAATTCTATAGTCCAAAACCCTGAGAAGTCACGGTAAATTCGGAGCAATTTGGGAGCTCAGGAACAGTGGCGTGGCGTGTATTGCGATACATCGATTGTCCTGCCATTTAAACCTATGGAAAAGGATCGATATACAGGGTTTTCGCCAAATCATCTTAATAATCGATTCTTTACCATAGCTTCAAAGGGGGGTATATGGATGTATCGCAAAGCAACCTGCGCCATTGGTATTGAAAGAATAGGCACTGAAAGGAGGGCAGCTGTTCTGAAGAATTACGCGCAAACTCTAGTTTTTTTAAGCCGTTACTAAGTTTTCCAAGTATCATTTCCGACGGCTAGGCACCTGAGAGGATAACACTTTTTCCCCGTAAATTTTTTCTCGGCTTCCGAGTGGAAGATTCCGAGCACTGTCCTTGCAAAAATTACGAAAAGGAAAGTTTCCACTTCAATCCTTGTGTATCATCGTGGACTCTGACATCACGAGTTTCATACCACGATGCCAGACTTCACACAGGGTTGTCATAGCCAGGGAATACCGGGAAATGTCGGGGGATTTTAAAAAGGCAGGGAAAACCTGGAAATGACAGAGAAAACATCGAAAATGTCGGGGAAAAATTGATAAGCACCTTTATTCGCTTTCTAGAATGAGCTTGACGTTTCGAACAACGAATTTTGCTCAAAAACTATTTCTGATTATGTATTTCTGACCATCTGGCATATCTTCAATTGTCAGGGGAATTCCACCAAATGTCAGGGAAATGTCAGGGAATTTAATTTTCCCAATTCCGTGGCAGCCCTGTCTACAAAAAAAATTTGAGCACCCACGGTTATGACGAGTACCCTATTACAATGGCAACTCTCTGCAGTTTTCATCACTATTATTTCTCCTCCATTTGAATACAGTATAGATTATATATCTTAGCAATCCTTCTTTCTTCTCTTTATTACATCTCTTTTTATGGATTTTATTATATCTCACTCTTTTATCAGTTTTTTCTAGGTGAGGCAACCTCTCTTACCTAGAATCGATTATTTTACGTACGTTCTAAACACCCTCGGAACGGCAACGGGGCAAAGTAACCAGTGGCGTGGCGTGCTTTGCGATATATCGATAGATCTGTCATTTAAACCTATAGAAAAGGATCGATAAACAGGGTGTTCGCAGCCTTAATAATCAATTTTTCACCATAGCTTAAAATGGAGAAATATCGAATATCGATCATTCACGCCACGCCATCGAGGAACGTTTCTGTGCCTCAAACTCGCGAGGCGCCAAGGTAGGGGTCTAGATTGAGGAGGGGTGGGGGGTCAAGGAGAGACGGAAAATGCAGAAATATGGAGACCACAAGGCTCCCAGGTGCGATATTCTAGGGGATCGAGCGAGGAGTCAGGTGTTGAGGATAAGGATAGACAAAAGACAAGAGAGAGACAAAGATACAGTCTTTGTAAGATGAGAATGCGCGGGAGAGAGTAAGAGAGGCCCTGGGGTCGATGTTGACGTGTAGGATAGAACAATTTGAACTAAACTGTAGACAGTGGCGATTCTTGGAAGTTGACAAGGCTGGTTTTCCCCCATTTAAATGTATGTAATTAAACTAAAAATTCATGTGTTCTAATATTTCTAAAGAAGAAGACGGAGAATTTTTCAAGTCCTGTTTTTTAGATAATGATTTTATTATCTAACGTTACTCTGTAAAAATGCAACTAGTGTAGTTATAAATCATGTACATAGATACAAAAATATACTTGTGGTAGTTACGTTGTGCTCAAATAAAATTTCTTCCACAAAAAAAACAGCACACTGATAGCACATGTCTGCGCCCTATCGCGAGCGTGCGTTGGCAGATCTCATATTTCGCCTGCGAAATCGAGCGTATGCAACCCGGCCCACCGCAGAGTTAAAATAGTTGCATGTTGGGTTCGAACCCAACTTCGATTTCTCTTCCACTGTTTAACACACGTTGCATTTTTCAAATACCGCGTTTATCTTACGGAAATGTATCTCATTTGGTTTATATCGCGGTATTTCGTTCGTAATGATTTTCTTCCGTTAATAAAGGAGCCCAGAGAACGTTATACGGGGTGTTCACCAATTCCAAAAGGGGTACTGGGAATTGCCTCGTATGGAACTTCGTATATTTTTCCGTTTTTTGTTCTCCGCGTTATTTTGAGTTGAAGGAGCGTTGCGTTATCGACAATGTGAGAATAAAGGCTCAGATTCATCGAAACGCTAAGCTAATTATGAACATTCTTAGTTCACTCACCTGATTCGCAAACTGATAGAAGTGCACGTGACATAAAAGAAATGCAACAAGCGATTCGGATGTGGAATTGAATTGAAATCTACAAATTCGATGGCGGATTAAGATTCACTACCATACTTTACACGCTCCGTGATTTATTTTTTTTTCTTCTTCTTTTTTGTGTCGCACTAGGAGGTTTTAAAATCTAAAGCCCGTTTTGTTTGCGGGAAGAGAGTTGAATACGCATATGGAAGAAGAAATTTAATAGAAGCGACATATATTTATGTATTTTTTATGTATTTTATTGTTAATTTATCTGTAATTTTGTCGTATTTCTGATGGTCTGAATTTTCTCTGTTTCAGGAGACATACTCCATACTTTGGGCAACCTGATTACCGTGTATTTGAGCTTAATAAAAGGCTGCAACAAAGAACGGAGGTAAATGTTTCTTTACATTTTCTATTCGTCACCAGATAACAGGGTGTCTACCGGTCCCCAATGTCCCCGATTATCCCCGATTTTGGAAGGGTGTCCCTGATATCCCCAATTTTCTTGTTCAGGTCCCCAAAAAATGACAAAAAATCGTCCTAAATACCGGAATTTTCAAATTCGCCCGCCAGCCGCGGCGGCGCGGTATAACCCGGAATAACAAAACTGAAATGTTGCTCGGTTTTTCATATGTTTTCATCGGTTCAACATGACTTGTAAAATTCGTCGTAAAAAAAAACGCCTTTTAACGCTCTAACTAGCTCCCTTTCTCTTACTATTTCGGGGGGAAAAGTCCTCAATTTTCATGAAAAAACTTCCCTCAAAGTCCCTAAAAGTCCCCAATTTTAGTTTTTGTAACTGGTAAACACCCTGGATAAGTTTATAAATTGAATGTTGGATGATTAAGATCTTCTCGTTGAAAAACGTTTTATTTTATCATGAAGGTTTTCCATTTCATAACACACCCTTATAACTACTTTACTACTTATTTTATAATGAACTTTTAAAAGTTTTTTACTGCTTTTTCAAATTCAAATACACTCATGGAACACCAGCCTCAGGGTGTGAACCTGAAAACATAATAATAAGACGAGCTTGTTAGAAGTCTCTCGTGATGAAAATTTAACGGGTGTCTTCTGAAATTTTTGAAGATTCGTTGATCTGATGGAGACAAGATTCCACTTCCGAATACGTTAATATGACTGTTTGGAAAAAGGTTTTGGTAAATACTCGTATTTATCAGACATTTTTTTATTACTTATGTTACGTAGTAGAGAGCTCAAAGTATATCACATCTCATTTTCAACATTATAACTGAGCTGCAAGGTTTACCTCTCTTGGTATCAATATAGTGTATACTAGTGACCAGAAAAATTTGAAGTATAGTCTTTTAGACCCTCCTCTGTAGTCTCCAATGATGAAAACCAAACGGGTGTCTTCTGAAAGTATTGAAGATTCGTTGACCTGAGTGAGACAGATCCATGTTCTTAAGGGCAAACATGAAGAGTGCTTGTGGAGATTTTTTCACCACTTCTGCTAAAAATAACTGCTAATAGTGCTAACTAAAATAATGTCCCTCCTTCCATATTTTAACGTATCTCTATTTTCAGTTTTAAATAGGTCTTGGTGTTTTGTTTCAGGAGAGTGATAATTTATGGTGGGACTCATTTGTAACTGAATTTTTTGAGGATGATGCAACTCTTACCCTAGCTTTTTGTTTAGAAGACGGACCCAAAAGATATTGTAAGTATACATTTTTTGCATTCCTCAGAAAAAGTTTGCGGTAACTTTGGTAAAGACCATGAAAGTGCTTGATGAGCTGAGTTCACAATATTTCTACTTTTTTTCCAGATCAAAAATTGCCGAGTAATGGCTTTAAATGTGAGAAAGTTAACTATCTTGTGATGTCCTAAGCCGGCATTTCCATTTGAACCCATGTTTTTTCGCAGATTAGATAATTTGTCAGAACACATCCAATGATCATTCCGCTTAGAAACTGAGGATTTTTTTATACTCAGCTCTTGTTTTCTTTTATAAAAGAAGTTCATAAAATTTCAGACCGTTGAAAATTCCTCACTGTTCTATAGTGAGCGTAACAGCAACCACTGGTTTGATAATATACCATGTGGATTCATTTGCCTGCCTTCTGCTGTCAAATGAACCTCTAGACAAGATGCGCATTTCAGCATTTTGATAGGTTATCACAATACTTAATTCGTAGTCAGTTCATAGTCTCTGTCAGCCACAGGTAATGTCCACCTTTTGCATAAAGATCTTTGCAGTATTCTTGTTTTGTCAGCCTTTTCTATATTATCATAGAAATGTGCAGAAATGACGAAAATGGTTGTACTGAATGGATTGTGAAGTCCTGAGTATAGTTACATGTTTTCTATTTGCAAGTAACATGAACACAATCTGTGCGTAAAATAGTTGTTCTATACTTGTATGATTTTTAAAGCTCGGTTTCTTTCTCAATTAATTATTTTGTTTTCATTTTTTGCAGCTATTGGAAGGACGTTAATTCCTAGGTATTTTAGAAGCATCTTTGAAGGAGGTGTAACTGAATTGTATTATAATTTAAAGCATCCTAAAGAATCTTTTCATAATACAAGTATTACGCTTGACTGTGATCAATGTACAATGGTGACGCACCATGGGAAACCTATGTTTACTAAGGTTAGTGCATTATTTTTAACTTCTCTTCCATTCAGTTGATGTTCTCAGCATGAAATTCTGATGAGGAAACATGTTCTGTCGTGAATAATGTATCATTCAGTGATCCATTAATTAACAGAGGATTGAGATCAGTCCCAGTAGTTAAAATTCGTAGTAGGGTCCACGCCAAATAAGTTTATGCACTTCTAGACTGCGACGGAAAATCGTCTGACATTGCTTTTACATGTAAAGTAAATGCAACAAGCAAGATGTCGGATCTTCTGTTGCAGTCTAAAAATGCATAAACTTATTTTGTGTGGACTCTATGAATTCTGAAACACTCGATGAAAAAGAAGAAAACAAAAAGACCTAGCACACCTTTTCCATGGTTTATTTTTGTGTGGAATTGGTCATAAAAGGCTCATCTGTGAAGTAAGATTCCCTATTTTATATTTAAATGGAAAAAATACTTCAGAAATGTCACGGAGCACATTCTATAATTTTAGCTCCAAAAGAAGCCCAGGCTTCAGTAAATCAGGGGTTTGAGAGGCAACTCAGATTTACTGTCCAACCTCCCAATGCACCAGCAAATCCCATGGAAGTTTTCTCATTGTATTCTCAAAAGCAAAGAATTTCAAAAGCAAAAAAGTTGGATTTATTTCAATCTCCTCGCACTCTACTTCTGAACTGCTCGCTGTTATCATTCAAACGAATTTAATTATTTTCGTCTGCCTCATCTACCTGGCCGACGAGAAAACAAAAGCTCTCCATGATCCCTAATAAAATGTTGCACACTCCTACTTGGTATTGCGAGTAATTAAACTAATTCCTTCTTCAGCCTCGCTTTTCTCGAGATTTGCACATTGAAAGTATAGTTGGCCGACGAGAAAACAAAAGCTCTCCATGATCACTAATAAAATGTTGCACACTCCTACTTGCTATTGCGAGTAATTAAACTAATTCCTTCTCAGCCTCGCTTTTCTCGAGATTTGCACATTGAAAGTATACTTATAATAGCTCATCGTGCTTGGGAGGCTGTAAAGAACATTAAATCAAATAAATTTGAAATTTAACTGCACCAAATTCCCAAGTATGGTGTGTATAGCGCTCTTAAAAGATTGCAACCCTTATATTTTCAATGATTTATTATCGATTTCCACTGTACACTGGAAGATTATTATATCCTGTCTTGACTGTTGCACAGTCTCTGCTGAGGCTTCTCTTTTCCTGCTCTTTAATTATTTGAATGCACTTTAAATTTTAACATTGGGTTTGATCTGAATGTTTCAGGTTTGTACGGAAGGAAGGTTAATATTAGATTTTACATTTGACGACATGATGCGAATCAAATCGTGGCATCTCTCCGTCAGAGCACATAAAGAACTAGTTCCGAAAACTGTAGTAGGTCTCCATTCGCAACAGGATCCAAATATGCTGGATCAACTGAGCAAAAACATTACTCGTATGGGTATAACTAATTCTACGCTCAACTACCTCAGGGTAAGTAAATCTGGTGTCTTTTTTTTTCCTTTTCTTTTTTTGTTTTTTTAAATTCAACTTTGTAATTTTATCAGTGAGAATAAAAACACACCAACCCGCAAAATGATAATGTCCAAGAGACATAAAAAACTGGGCAGTAAGTGAAGAAATTGGTCCAAGAAAAAGCTTTTTGATGCCAAAAGACATCCGATTACTTTCCAAATCACATAAGCGCCAAAATTGGGAATGCAAGATAAACGAGAAAAACCGTTTTATTCGCTTTGTTGACAATCTTTGAATTCCAAAATATTTAGGTACGTCCTTTTAGAAGGCCGTTTTGAAATCAGACATGATAGATTATACCAGAGAAAACAAAGAAAAAACAACTCTTCGCCCATCAAAGTAGAGATTGGCGCTTACCATGATTTAGTAAGTAATTGGTTCAATTATTTTGGGGCGCTTTAAAGGCCCAAGTTGACATAGATGCGCCATCTTCAATGGCTTTCATGAAAATCGAATATTTTTAATCAAACTTGGGCATTTTTATGTCTTTGAAATGGTGTGTTTTCATTCTCACAGATGAAATTACGGTACCAAGTGAATATTCTGATAGCTCTAAGCACAAGGGAACCAACCTGTTTACAGGATTTTCAAAGTTCTGTAACCCCTGCTTTGCTTTAAAAAATACTGAATATTTGCATGTATATTAATTGTATTAATCGTTTTCCTTTAAACTCAATAGTTTTTGGGTAGAAAAACAAAAACTACATATTCACTATTCAAAGCTTTTTTTAAAGTAAAGAATAAGTTGCACAATTTTAATAACTCCGTAATTACGCTGGTTCCCTTCTACTTAATGCAATCCATTTAACTCACAAAATGGAGAATGCGTTCCTCTTCTGAGTTCCAGACGGAAAAATTAAAATCCTTCAAATCGGTAAAATGCACTAAATGACAACAACAACCTTTTTTGATGAATATCTCTTCATTGTGAGAAAGGTGACCTGTTTTTTGGACACACGCTCCTTACAAATTATGTTATTTGAATGAGTCCCCGGAAACCTCGCTTTTTAAATTAAATACTTTTGATAAGAGAACATTAGGACTTAGATGAATAGCCTTTGAAACTACTGTAAGAAAGTTTCCAAACTATTTTGAAGCACATTTCTCACCTGTAATGGAAAGAAAAATCAACTATTCAAATGGAATTTTTTTCCACCGAGTTTGTAGACACCTAGTAAGTGTCTGTTTTTAAAACTCTTGAATGTACTGGATGATTTTCTGTTCATTATCTTGATCGAAAGTAGGATCAATTATGGATTACCTAAAACTAGGAATAGAAATCCTTTTAAGTCTTTCTCACAAAGTCTTTGCCTTTTGGGAAATAATCAACATAGTATCTGATTCAATTTTGCTGCCTGCAGACAGGTTTTCTGCACCATTTAAGAGACCGCACAACTTAGCTGTCCTTTGTATGGTTAATATTGTAATATTTCTTGTTTTGCAGCTATGTGTGATATTGGAACCAATGCAAGAGCTGATGTCAAGGCATAAAGCGTACGCATTATCTCCAAGAGATTGTCTGAAAACGACGCTTTTTCAAAAGTGGCAGCGCATGGTGGCTCCGCCTGGTAAGCGAGGTATTCCTTCTGTTTGGACTTCATCACAAGCTGTCAGCATGTTTCAGCCCATGACCAATTTCAGTAGCGTAAAATCGATTTTTTTATAATAGATCATGAACACCTCATCTCACAAAAACCCTCCGATCAACAGCCTTATTGAAAGATTTTGGCTCCTCAATTTCAAAATGAGCTGAACTCTTTTATAAATGCACTCTTAGATGAAGATCAAGATAGAAACTTTCCCTCGGCTGTTCTTCGAAACCTTTTGGCCCTTTTGCTAAACGAATTGTAACTTGTAATGTTTTAATTTTCACTTCCTCGGATAAGTAGTTCTATTTTCTCTACTATCCACTCATTTACATTTATGAAGATTCGCAAAAATAGTTTTTAGTAATGGATATTAATCGATTGGAATTTTTTTTTATGTTTCTGAATCATGATTTCATTACTTATTTATTTCTTTAAAGTTAGAACAGTGTCTCTACAGTTAAGACAAGGATGTCACAGTCAGAGAACGTTAGGGAAAATGATGAAAGTCAAGGAAAAATTGTAAATCGCTTTTATCTGCTTTCTAGAACGGTTTTGATGTTTTGAACAAGAAATTTTGCGAATTTGTCTTCATAACTATCTTGCCTGCCTTTATTTGTCAGATACTTTTACCAAAATGTTGATGAGAAATTCAGTTTCTGAACTCTGACAACCCAGGGTGTTGGGTTTTTTAATCGTAATTTTTCTCTCTTCCTTATCCCTTCTACTCGTCAAATGAGCAACATTATTTTCTAGATGGAACAACCTGGTACGGTATTGCTAGCTGATGGCTGACAGCTGTGATACATAATTTAAGTTTTTACACCTTATATCGAATTTGAGAGCCTCTAATGATCAAGAAATTTAAGTGATTGTCATTTAAATCAAGAGAATCAAGCCCAAGTCACGTCTCTTAGTAATTTCATAGCTCATACCAAAGTATGCTTATTCTTTCCCTGCATCTCTGAAAGCACTGAGCATTTTTTCCATGCAAAAAGCTGTTGAAAGAAGAAGAGTGAAGTGAGTTCAAAGAAACACATCCCTATTTTAAAGGCTTGACAAACTTTCAAAGTTAAGTTCACTGGTGGTGGCTGCTTAGCCAAGTGTTGCCAACGATAACCTTCAAAGGAGAGCAGGCAGCTCTCTCGTGCAGCATCGACGCGCAACACTTTACTTACCAGCCATCACTTTGGAGCTTCATTTTGAACGTCAGTCCAGCCAACTATGCAATGCTAAACAAAAGCTAGAATTGCCAAAGTTAGGGAATACTGGCATAACTGGAATATGTCAGGGAATCTAAAAAAGTCAGGGAAAACCTGAAACTGTCAGGAAAAATGGTGAAAATATCAGGGCAAAATTTTTAAGTCACCTTTATTCGCTCTATGGAGTAGTTTTGACGTTCGAAACAACAAACTTTGCCTGAAAACTATTTCAAATCATGTGTTTTTAACCATCTTGCATATCTTCAATTGTCTAAGAATCTTACCATTTGTCAGGAAGTCAGGGAAATTTATTCACTAAATGATGTGGTAACCCTGATGACCGTTTCCATAGGATGCCTCCTATGCTTTTAAAATTGAAGGTATGATCTCTTTGTCACCAGCCACAATTGATCTAAAATACAAGGAAGTTCTTTTGAAATGGAACATTTTAATGGCATGCTTGCGGATTTTTCAAATCCTCCAAGAGACATTGCTGGTTTTTTCTGTTTTTCACCCAATTTTGTTCTTCCTTCACAGAATCACAAAGGCCGGCAAGTAAAAGGCGGAAACGAAAAGGCTCACAGTCAGGAGGTGCAGCTAATAACACTCCACCTGTTCCTAATAAAAAACGTTCTCCGGGTCCTAATTTTTCTCTGGCGTCCCAGGTAAGTTGCTCAACCCAATTATATGTTCAAATCTTTGATTTCAAACCAACTTGGGGCTGTCCTATCCTCTGACCTGCCTTCCTCAGGCGTCATGCATTAAATGCTCCTAAAGGTAGCTTATTTGACTCCCGAAAAATTATAGATGGCTCCTAAAAATTGGGGTTTTTTGGCCAAGGTGGCTCCATGAGTTTTAGGTAGAAGGCAGAGCACTGGTCTTAACGGATCGCCGTAAGCCTCTGAAACACTGTCCCTACAAAGGGGACGTTATTTTCTCCACTCAGTATGAAATCTGATCCATCAAATAGAACAAATCTAAACCTTTTCTCGAATTCATGGACTGTAAATTGCCTTTCTCAATAGAATGTGTCACCTCTAAAATGGCTCCCCTCTTTAAAACTAAATATTTGGAGAAACCCTGAAAATTGTATTGCTGGCACACAGTGGCGTGGCGTCCATAGGTTCGCAGTGTTCGCCGAACACCCTAAAATATTTTGAAACAATTAATAAATTATGGCTAACAATGTGGGAAGCAGTACAGAATACAGAATAGTAGATCGCAAATAAGTATCGGGTGCTTGGCTTCCGACAGCGGCATGTGGCGCGGCGGAGAGAGAAAATCCTGTGACGCGTGGTCCGCACCGGCTACCGAACCTGGATGATCTGCGTACGGTGAGGATAGAGAACCTGGATGCAATGATGAAGGGGCAAAGGGTACACGAGAGAGGAGAGGCACCGGCGCGCGGCGCAGAGCGGAGCGTGAGCATTGGGTTCAGAGACGAGTGCGGACCGCGCTCGCGGAGGGAACACAGCAGAGAGAAAAGGGAGGGTAAAAGAACGAGAGAGGAGAGCCGCTCATCAGTCCAGCTGTTTCCTATAGCAGTGGTCCGCAGGGGTTTGCGAACCGCCGAATTTCCTCTATGCCGCGATTCGCCCTCCGCTTCCTCCCCGCGCCTGCGGGCCGCATCTCCCAGTTTCACAGTCTCCCTCTCCCACCTCTCTCTGCAGGTGCATGTTGCGAAAATACGTTATCATTCAACAAATTAAATTACAGGAAAACGATCGGTAAAAAGAACAAAATTTCAATGACAATTTACCGGCACAATTTTCACCAGAAAGGGTTAAAATCATGTTCTTGCGGCTTCATTTTTTAAAAAGTTTCCGGGGGAGGCCCCCCGAACCCTCCTTTAAGGAAGGGGATTGAACCTTTCTGACCCCCCTCCCCCCTAAAGTTAACACTCCTACCGAACGCCTATCAGATATAGTCACGCCACGCCACTGCTGGCACAAGTATCGAAGAAAAAAATTTTAATGTTCCAAAGCATCCATGAAAGGGCTCTATAACAGGCCACTGTTCCAAATGGATACATGTTCGAAACCATAAAGTTACCCGAACTCATGGATTTAGGTGGATTTCGAACTTACCAGTTTTTTGGCAGCAGAAATATGGACAAACAGTGAAGGAAGTTGATAGTTTTGGTTTATTTTGCTAATTCCAATCAAAATTATGGTATTTTTGGTACGAATTTTATACAACCAGGTACTTACCTATAACTTCCCTGTATCTTACCTGTAAAGAGTTGGGTGTTCTGAAAATTTGATGTGAACAAATCTTGTCAGTTAACTTCAAAGATTCTGAGAAAAAAATACTCACAACCCTTTCATTACCAGGCTAGATTCTGCCCCACAGTGGGAATTGGTCGTCATGCAAGCTAATCCGAAAGTACTCTGTGGAGGAATGTCTAAATTTGTAATCCAGATTCTCCTTGACATATAAAGCTATAAATGTGATTACTCCTAAGAAGAAGTTGTTTAGTAATGACGGAATCATTGTGGGAAGGATATTTTGCTGAGCTCATATAGGTGATGAGTTTGTTGCGATTAAAAGGTGGAGCCTTTAAAACCCCATCTCTGGGTTTTTCTCTGTTAATCAAGATTTTCTGGTACCTCTTTCATGTTTCTCCACTCAACATTTACGAAAATCGTTTAGTTGTAGAAGTGCATAACCGCCGTAACTATTTTTCTACAAATAATTGAAAATTGCAAAAATCTGAGTCCAGTTATTTTTATAGTCACCGCTTTAGTTTGGAAAAATACTTCGAGTTCTCCATGCCTACAGAAATTGCAAGCCTGCAAAGCTTTCAAAGTTCTTTTTTTCACCTCATAATTTTGCCTCATAATAGTGACTGCAAAAAATTCTTCAGCGAGTTAGTTAATTTTTTCTACTCATCATTCAAAAGTATTACGTGAACATAAGCATTAAAAACCTCCAGGCATTGTTCCTTGACTTTTGAATTTGATAAAATTTGTGTAGAAAATTTGCATAGTTGCAGTCTATAAGAGTGTGTCCATGATTCACGAATTAATTCTCTTCTTTTTATTTCAACAGGATGTCATGGTGGTGGGGGAGCCGTCACTGATGGGCGGGGAGTTCGGTGAGGAAGATGAGCGCATGATCACTCGATTAGAGAATACGCAGTACGACGCTGCAAATTCACTGGAGCATGATGCGCCGCATGGTTTTCCTGACCCGCCCAACTCATGGACGGACCGGCCGTCGACACAAGGCAACACGCCCTCAAGTCAAGACTCAGACAAGAAGTCGCCCGCCGTGAGCCAGTGATATCCTTTTAGTGTCCATATACTGTTTCAAATTTCAAATTTATTTTGTTTTCATTTGCTAGTGAATTTCCTTTCAGTGCAGTTTGTAGCGCTGTGTGGTCTCAAGATCAGTTTCTTCGTCTCTGAACAACTTGTGCTATTAATGTATCAGTTCTATTCTCTCCAAGATCAGTACCAATTCTCATCATGTCAACGCAAGTTGTGCAATTTTTAACCTAATTCTCTGTTGCTGAAAAGAATAGTGTAAGGTGTTCTGTAGCGTTTCTAAATCATTTGCATGTCAATTGAACAGCAGTGAATTAATTGCATATAGGTGCAAAATTTTGCTGCAGGATTAGAAGTTATCTTCCTCAAAAGCACAGCATGGTCTCAAATCTCAACAGTACAAAATTGATGGGTATCCTTGTTAGGTTATATAGTTATTTAGACCTCTAACTTCTAATTGCAGCAAAATTTTACTATATTTCTACACAGACAATTTTAGCAGCAGAGCATTAGACTAAGTAGCTGATTTTATTATTGTTGAAAATTTCTAATGAAAATTATTCTATCATCTCTTTTTTGGTTTATGTTTAATTGATAGTTTATCACCTCTTCAAAGGTTTTTTTTTTTTTTTTAATCATTGGAATGTATTCAGGTGAGAATCGCTCTAATTTGATTACGGAAGTATTTTTTCTGTGCATTGAGTCATTATCTTTCATATTATCACCGATTTTTCTCATATTCCTGTCTTGGAATTTTTACATTATTAGAAGTTGTAAATTCCCACTATAGGAAAATTGTGAACCACCGTATCAAATTGTTTACATTCAACTAATGGTTGTAGCCTAGTTGCTGAGACCTACCACCCAAATATTCAAGAGAAAATGTCATTGTTTTTCAATTTCATCCAGCCAAAAATTACTTTGTAATAAAACTGTTTCTTGGTGAAATGGTGAAACGGTTTTTTAGTTTTTGACTTATTTCTGTAAATCGGAATAAAATTACTATTCAGATATGATGAAACATGTTACATCTGTGTACAGATACGTGTCTGTAAGCATCATTTTTAATTATCTGAATTTTCTTACTACTTTCTTCCTGCTATTCGGTTCATGTAAGCACGATTTTCCCTTATTATTTTCACTGCTGCTGTAACTGAGCTCTAATACTAAAGATTTTTACTTCAAATCAGTATGTCTCTTTCTTCAATGTATCAAATCAATGAAATTCTAAAAGTTGATTCAGTTTTAATTTCTATGTCTTCTAAGTTAGAAACCCTAAATTTCAGCCAAGATGTAGATGATTTTTGGGTTGCTTTCTCAAATCAGTTTTGGACCAAAGTTCACATTTACGTTTTTAAAACAATTTTTTTCTCTCTCCATGAATCCCATGGCAATCATTTTGTAACCGTTATTTTCTTGTCAATCTCTTTTTACACAGAGACTGGTTTATTTTTTATTTTGAAGAATTTTATTATTTCTGTTATCCTCTTTAGCTAACGATGGACCGCAACTTAGAATCATAGATTTTTAATTTTTCTTGATAAGTTGTTTCTTTTCCATTCCCCTTACAGTTTGCTCACTGTTAATCGAATTTTATCACAGATTTGGCTCTGTAAGTACATTCAGATCTTGCATCGCTCTTTTTTCCTTTTTTAACTCCTTTTACCCCTCCCAAGATGGATGCAGTGCAAACTTGGCCTCTGCCTTTCTTAATCATATAATCTCCGATGGCTCTTATTATTTCTATTGACTTTATAGTAATATTTTCATCACACAATGTGCTAAATATGGAACATTCTTTAATTCTGAGTTTCATCATATCCTTATCTGGAGTGGAAAAATGATTTGCCTGCATCCATGAGGACTGTCTCAATTAAGTTGGCAAAAATGCATGATAACTTTTGATAGAATAAACTATCTTATTTATATTATGGAATCATTAATGCAATGTGCAATTTCAATTATTCTTTTTTAGATTTTTTTTTTCCTGCTAAAACCAACCAGTTCATCTTAATTTTAACATGGATCTGTTATGCTCTAAATTTCTATTTTGAATCTATTTAATCTCATCTCAGTTTATCAACAAAAACTCGACCAAATCTTAGCCAAACTTCAAAAAGTTTTTCATATTATCTCGACTTCAAGTTGATCCTTTTTCTACTGTGGTTGTCGTTGAAACGGCAAAGCAAAAAAATTACATATTAACGAGGAACTGTATTTTTGTGGCACAATTTTTTAGCAACTGAATTATCAATTGTAATTACTACGCTGTACGAATATTGTGTCTTGTATATACTTGTACAGATTACCAAAATTTAAATAAGTAGCAATTCTGTAAATCACCTCTTGACTTTATTTTTTGTTTCTTGATCTTTTTATCTGTATCTTCTTTTCTCTGGGATCCAATTTTTGATATTCAGCAAGCTCCAAATTAGTTGAATATTTTTTTAATCTTAGATAATTAATGTGCTATAAGTTCTTGTAAACTGTTTGAACTCTTCCCATAGAAAACCTCAGTAGATGTACCAGCAAGTACCAGTTTTTTGGGGGTTTTGAGCGACTGGAGTAATTCTTGTAAAGCTATCGTTCCTTGTGTTGCATGAATTGTTGAAGGACCAAACACACATACCGCTAGGAGGTGTCCCATTATGAACACAATTAACACAGCTGCCTGTCGGAAGGGTTTCACTATCAATTTATCTTGCATTCAAATAATTGTGTAACTCAAGTAGCTGCATTCACTCATTAAATCAGAAGTGAATTCCTGCAGGAGAGTGACAGGTTATGTGGCGATGCATTGTGTAATGAATATGACAAAAGGCCCTGTGAACTCGATGACTAGGAAAAAATGTTTCTATGGGTTTTTTATTTTCAGTGAAAGTGGTAAGATAGCTTGCTAAGTAATTAGTAAAATCTCCAAGGGCGGTATTTATAGTTGTTCCTCAGACAGCCCCTTGCTGTAGGAAGGTCTCATATAGTTTATATTGTGATCAAATGAGATTTAAGGCAGCCCTGAACATAGTATCATTACAATGACAATTTTTGTTGACCTATGGTAATTTTTAACAGTGCAACTCCAAAAATGGATCATCAGGAGGGGTTTAATAAAGTAATTTGTCCTAGTTAAAAGTACAAAATCTGAAATAAAAATTCCATGATTTCAACAAACTTAAAGGTAGGTGCACACTCACCTTAGAATCTACCACTCTTGCAATATATTTTCTTTTGTATTGGCAAATCATTATAATCCCCTGAGTGGATTCATCTTTTGAGTTATACTCCTGAATTTTACTTCAGGTTCGTAAAAATTGTCATTTTTGTAATGGAATGTTCAAGGCTTCCACGAGCCATCCTTAGCGGCTTGATGTCTCCCTATGCAAAGGAGCTGTTTAAGAAACAAATGACTACAAACGTATGAAGACGGCCATCAGAACTGGTAGCATTAAAAATCCATCGAAGAAAGTGAGGGATGATTTTGTTGAAGGTGGTTTTTCTTTTCTTCCCAGAAATGGTGCCTTCTAATGCTTTCAGCTCACTTTGCTTCCTCAGGCCTGAAGAGTCCATCGTAACCTTGGGCATATGTTTGAAGAGAAAAAAAACATTTCATCATCACATCAAAGATTTTGATTGGTCTATTCAAACAATTCGTGCAACATGGTTTGCGAGCTGTAAATGGTTGATTTAGGTATTTCTTTAATATTTTAACTCATCCCTGTATTCTTTTCTTCCTCCTCTAAAGTTTTGAATCATTATCTCTCATTTTAAATTCAATATTTTGAGTGTAATCCGTTTGCTCTCTTAACAGTTGCAAAACTGTCGATAATTTTTTTTCCGACAATGAAAAGCTTGCCTTTTGTAGATATTCTCTGCTTACCATGGAGCTGCTCGCAATTATTCTAGGTTTTATTGTCCACCACGGCATGCTTCACATGGAATGAAGTCAGAGAAATTTTTTTATCAGACATTCAGTAAAACATGGAAATGAAGCTTAATATTGTCCCCCGAGAAACAGAACCGCCTAAGTAATAGAAAAATGTCATATGTATTATCACAGTAACACACAAGTGGGTGATGAGTCTTGCGATTGCTGCTACAGCAGTGCCCTACAGAATTTTATTCGTCTAAGAAACAAATTGGTCCTTAGTCTTTTCCTGTCAAGTGCGCTATTGTGAATTTTTCTTATTACATGAAAATTTCTGCCATGTAGTGTTGTTATCTAGGCAATGATATGGAAAAAATATGAATGTGCTGTACATTATTAATGGAAATTTCATCATTTTTATTTGGCAGGTTTCTTATGTCACAAATTTAAAAAATATCTTAAAAGTATCTTTCTCGCGGTTCTGTTTTCTATAAAATATGATTATCCTCTTTCAGCCTGTATTATACTTGTTTGGACCTCTTGTACTACGAACTGATATTGTTCTGAAGGGTCCAAGCGCCAAAATCTTGGTTTTGAGAAAAATGGAAAAACTGTGCTCTTTGGCGTGCGCTCAATCCATTGTGTCCAAAAAAAAAAGTACGTCTAAAATATACCTATTGAACGCCAGCTAAATTGCACACTTTTTTCCATTTTTCTTGAAACTTGGATTTTGGTGCTTGGACTCAAAAGAAAAACGTTGGTTCAATTTTGTTTATTGGTATTTTTACCAAGTAAATTTTCAAGTTTTATCCGCATCCAGATTTTTATATTTCCGTTTTGCAAATGTGTAGAAGAGTGAACCTATCCGATCATTTTCCCCTCCAAAGGTTACATTTTAGTGAAATTTTAGTTTTTGGCTGACTGCGCCAACTTCTATTATGAATAATTCACCTTTTGTAATGTATGTATCAACCATTTTTGTAAATTTTTCTGTAGAGTTATTTTTAAGGTAGCATTTATTAATTGAACAGGAAATGAACTTTTTATTAACGAGAGGACAACATTTACCTATGGGGGGAGTCTTACTTTTTCAGCCTCAATTTTTGATCTTACTTTTCTACGTCACGTCCATGAAAATATCTTTATCATTATTTAGCGTTTCTTCTAGAGACCAATTTCACATTTTAAGTCAAATTCTAGAGCCTAGTCCTGCAATCCTCCTCGGACTTATAACATTGTGGGAAAACACAGATATTTGTTCTTTTCTTGTGGCAAGTGCAGGCCTAAATATTAATCGCTTTTTGGCTAACGTATACTCTCAATTAAAAATTTGTCTCTGCATTTCGTTGGATGCTGAATCGGATTTTTGGAATGATTCTAGCCACTCCTATTTCACATGTTATGTCGTAATGTGTAACAGAGACCATTTCTCATCATAATGTTCAGAATGAAAACATCATATCAAATGCTCAATGATTCACAAAGCGGGAAATTCGGAAATCAACTCCTTGATGAGATATTATCAAGTATTTTACCACAGATTAAATGTAAATTAGATTATACCAATATCATCATTTGTATTTTTGCCATTCAACCAATGTCAGTTATAAATACTTAAATCTTGCTTACGAGTTGATTTCCATACCTCCCATTGTGTGATTCATTTTCCCCGTGAAATTTAAAGTGAAAACAAGTTGTGTATCGCAGTAACTCATCCCTTATCATGGGGCCTATTCTGAGTGGAAACAATTTTCCTGTGTTTGATTCTGTTGAGCATAAGATACACTGACAAATTCTAGGAAATTTCTTAAAAGTCCACTTTTTTGTCTTGGATGCCATGTATATTAAAGTGAGAGCAACGAAATTAAGTAGGTGCAGTGGCAATTCTAGCAAATTGGTAGCACTTTTAATCTCCCTTCATTTAAATTCGTTGTAAACGAGTGATTTTAGTGGAGGCAGCCTGCTGCAATAGCTATCAGTCATTATTCGCTCCACTCAATGAAGGAAACCCAATCTTACCAATCTTCAAAAATTTCAACTGGGTGAGTGGGGAAAAAGTTTCAAAAGCACGAATGGCAGCTTTACAGTATTCAGAGAAGATAGGAGTAAACCATTCTCTTTTTTACGTTTCGATTATTTGAGCATGATTTTCAATTCGTGGTCTCCTCTGTTGCCATTCCTGCATTGCACTTTTTTCTGTGGCCTGCATAATTGCTTTGCATTGAAAGAAAATTGTGTCATTGAGTCTCAGTTTTTAATTGTTGATTGCTAACGCCAGCTAGGAAGTTACTGACCTCTGAAACGCTCCGGCCGAAATAAAAGTTAATTGCATTGTCTCAGAGAGTGCGCCTCTGTTGCTGTAGTCAGGACATCGCCTCTCATGTGCATATTCGTGAAGATGCTGCCGTTTTTGCTTGAGTCTATGGTAGGCAGTTACTTGATCTCGATATCAGTACTCGATATGATTGCATGGATATGACCTCAAACATTCTCTTTTGCAAAATCGCTCGTGTTGGTTGTAATTTTGATTTGCTAGAATTTTCAAAGTCTTATTCAGTGATATTGTCTTTTCTTCAATGAAATCATAACTGATAGACCAGCTTTCTGAAATTTTAATTTAGTCGACGGGTGAACGGCTTTGAAAATTCGAGCAATCGCCATATTCTGGTCAGTGCCTTTGCGCTAGTGAGGTATCACTCTGAGAGTTTATCGGGGCATTTGGCTTTAAAGCCATAAGCTGCCGTCTGAAGTCAAGGTTGCCAGGTTGTGCAATGGAATATGGATATTTTACATGGGTTGAAATGGAGAAAAGTGCTGTTTTTCCAGCATCATCTGGCAACAATGTTTGAAGTATACCCTCTAAATTTTTCCTGTTGACCGTCATTTTGTAATTCATCTCAATCATGTTATTTGTAAACTTCTCAATTTCAATAAATGTTGTCTTTTGTATAATATTGAATCCTAGTGTTTTCAATTCAATATTCAATTAAACCTGTTGACCTTTTATCATCAAAGAAAGATAGATAGTATCATCCATAATCAAGTATATTTCCAAGGTTGCCACAGTTAACGAATATCGGAAAAACAAGGAAATGTCAGAGAAAACTGATGCATTGTTTTCATTTGCCTCCCAGCATGGGTTTGATCTTTGGAAACAAATTTTGCGTGAAAAAAAATTATAATTACATTTTTTTAAAACTGTGTTGCCTTCAAATGTCAAGGAATTCGACCAAAATGTGTCAGGGAATTTCATTTTCTAAATTCTGTGGCAACTCTGCTTTTAACTCATTTATGCAAATCATAATCATTGAAAATGTAGAATGAAACTGAAAAATTATGATTTAAAACTTAAAAAAAAGAGACAAAAATTAGGGTATCTACTGCTTAGGATAACTGGGAGGAAATTGATCAAGATCACGGAAATTGGGGAATTCTATGAAGAAGTCTGGAAATTTGTGAAACTGGAAATTTGAAAGAAAAATATGAGTGCTGTACGCACCGTCGCACCATCTTATCAGAGTTGCAAGATTTCTTGTTCAATGTACTGCTGCTTTGTGTGTCAGTTTTTTGGATTGCAAGGTATGATAGTATATAAAATATTACAAAAAATATATAAATATTCATATTATTATATGTACAAGTAAAAATTAAAATATATACAGCTGATTTTCACCAGCTCTGGAAACTACTATAGGTACACTCATAAGTCCTCTCATCGTTACTTTTTCTTAAGTGGATAAGTGTAATTTTCAAAAAATTTGAGATAATAATGTTTGCAACTAAAACTAGTCTTAAAATATAATCTATGAAAATTTGATTACAATAATCCAATCTTTGAGAATCAAAAAGTGAGTTGGAACTTTTTTTCTGCCACAAGGCTCCATGTAATTTTGAAACTTGAAACATGCATTTCTCGAAATGGCAAAAACTACACTTATCCCATTTGTCCTCAAAGCCCCGTATCTGATGGATTATCCATTATTTTGAACAAATCGTAAAATTTTCTCCCTGGATTAAGAACGGCCCTAATGGAACTTCTTTTTTTTTTTTAATGGCAACTCATATCTCTCAATTAAATTCTGAAGATAATATTTGAGGACAGAACAATTACTGTTCAAATGGACGTAGTTATGCTTTAAGGGACTGTATGCAAAGGATTTGCGTCCAATATAGTTCCTTTTAGCATAAATTTATCCAAATGAAGAGTGGAAATTAAAATCCTACTAAGGTCTTGCCATGTTCGTCCATAGTATTCTTTACCAAAAAATAATCTTCAGGCATCCGCCTCATATCATTTTCATCAGAGCATTCTCTAAATTTTAAACTTATTTTCATGAAAATAATTAGTCCTCTCAAGAAAGTGGATTCCTTTCACAAAATAATATATCTAGCTACAGTTTTAGTAACATCCGATGGCGCCTACCAGGTTTCGAATTTCAACTTTTCAAGTCTTAGTCCAACTAAGTTGAGAATTTAATGCCATTAGTTGCATAATTAGTAAGGTATTCTCAAAATGCAGCAATGTAAAATTAACATTTTTTACCTTTAAAAGAGAACAAACTTACCTAACGAGATTGAAAGATCCTCAGTATGATAAATAATTTCAGCTTTAATGAGGGTGGTTTGGGAAGTAAGACTCCTTACTTATTTCTCTACCCAAGCAGTACAGTGCATCTACTCCTTGAGATGAAGTTGCAAATGAATACATTTTAATGCCAAATCTGGCTGGCTAAGCTGCATAGAACATGGTAATTGATAAAAAAAAATCGAGCAACAAGCCAAAAATAAATTAAACAAGTAATATTTCAAAGTACATGGAGATGAGAAATAATAAAAAACTTACAAGAAACAAAGCAAACATTTCGACCGCCAACAAACTGCGGTCTTCTTCAGTGCAACAGGAACAACAAGTGGAAACAATTTACAAAATAAAAAAAAAATAAAGAAGCTACAAAACTATTAGCAAACTAAGTAAAGCGAAAATACAACTCGTAAATTGCTACTACATCTTGAAATAAAATCAAAATAAGGCAAAATTCATCAGGAAAGAAGAGTGAGTTCTTATTATTTCTCATCTCCTTGTACCTTGAAATATTACTTGTTTAATTTATTTTTGGCTTGTAGCTCGATTTTTCTTAATCAATTACCTACCATGTTGCTGATGAAGTTTTATTTTTTTCTCTCTTTCTGCACCTTAAAATTGTATAATATTTTTGATAAAGATTTGATTTCTAATTAATTTACGAGATAAATTAAATGAGTTACATGGATCAAAAATCGACAGTAACGGAATATCGCAACTTATTTAAATTTTAATGCAATGAGTCCGTAGAGAGGAGTCCCTTCAATTAGTGGATAGGCAACATATTTGACACTCCGATTTAATCGCCGTTTTCTAAGGTAATACAATTTATTGCAACCTGCGCTCTTTGAGTAATGGAGTAAAAAATTTCGAATGCATCATAGATGTTCTCGCGCTCCCAGCTCTCTGACGGTCTAGCTCAATTTTTTTCAGCTATTCCATTTTTTCGCAGACTTGCCGAGACGCAATTCGGCTGCGTGCATACCGAGAGCTTCAATAATGGCCGAATGACGCAGTGGCGTTGCGTCGTATTTTGCCGCGTCAACGCGAGCGCGCGCCTTATCAGTGCACTCGTGCATTTGTGTACAACAGAGTGCCGCGCTCTAGCGGAGAAGCCTCGCAACTCGCCAAATCCGCGCCTCTGATTGGTCGATTTTCAAGCGAAGCTCGATGACGTGTTTTGTTGACAAGTCCCCCGATCCGACATGAAAATAATCACAACAAAGATTCCGCAGTGTTTCTTTGTAGTTTCCAAGTTTCATTTGCCAGCTGCTGATGAATTTCCGCTTATTCTCAAGTGAAGTGTTCGTGTCTTAGTTGAAATCTGTCTGAATCTGACTCTGTCAGAGTCAGACATTAGTTTTCAAACAGTTTCGAATAGTTTCTTTGTCTAGTGCGGTTGTATATATTAGTTGTTGTGAACATGTCTTCTACGTCCAAAAACCTCGTTGAGGAAAGTCTCGGAGGTATGTACTCTAATTCCTTTGATAACCCCAACTCATTTTATTGATAGCATTAAATTTCATCTGAAATCTAACACCTTTTCATTCATCATCCTTTCCTTGCACTGATCCCGGTGCAATATTCTTTGGAATAGTTCAGGAGCACTTCAACACCTCAGTCCTGTAGGATTAACTTGAACTCCAAGTAGCTTACACAGCTCAGATACATCGATTCAGGATGCTTAGAATTTGCTTCAAGTGTCATTGTCATACTTTTGTTTAAGTTTGAAAGCATTTGCACTCTGTTTTTACGCATTTTCTTGTTGTGCACTCAAATCATATGAAAATCCTTTCATAGGCTTTGTGTCAGCTGTTATCGTGCTTGTTGTTTCCTCTCTGGATGGTAGCATGCTGCCATTCCACAACTGAAATTTTTCAAAACGAAGGAAATTAGAAGCTCCTGCAATGTTAACCTTTAGATACCTATCAATTTAATCATTATTTCTCCTTTCTTGAATGATATTTTTCCTGAACCATCAGCTGTAAGGTACTCTATGCAACTGATATTTTGACTTATTTTTTTTGCTGAAACGGCCTCTCCAGTCATTTTTCATGAACTGTAGCTTCAATCCTATCTGCAGGGGGGATTTTTCAAGACTGATTAGACATTTATAATAAATTGCATATCCTATGATACTAATACTGTCCAGACAATCTGGGCTGTGTCGAGTCGGTACAAGTCCTAGGTGGCTATCTTAATATTATCAAAGTGCCCTGTTGTCCTTTCTAAGACTGCAGACTAATGCCAAATATCTATTTTAATATTATAGCAAATGTAGTCTATTGATCTGCTGCGCCCATTATATTTCTGATGTACCTAGGGCGCAGAAAGCTTCAGGACATGGGTGATGTGCTGCAATCTGCACCCTAGCCTCTCGTTAGAATTAATTCATTTACTTAACATTTTTGCTAAGATGCCCTGATTTCCTCATACAGCATTAATATTTCCCTCTGAGGACAGAGTGTGTATTTTCTTTTGTAGTTAGTAAATCAGTATTCTTGTGCCTACCTGATGGTTTAAAAGTCCTTTTGGAGGCAAACCTGACACCAGATTGATGTTTTTGCACATCAAGAATTAGAGAATCCGATACTCTTTGAACCTATGGTTATCAAGTCAAATGACTAGTTGTAATATTCCAGGAGATGAACTTTGAGTATAAGTAACATTTCAACCTAAAGTAAGTCATTTACTGCACAAAAATAACTTCACTGTCCTGTCCCTATTCTCTGTGCACCCTCAGGGTGTATTTGAATACCAGAATGATTTCTTAAACCCTCCCTTTGAGTAGTAAGTAATTTTGCTTTACCCCATCATGATGTTAAGAATATTGCCCCAAATGAATGGATTTAGTGTATCCTGAAGAAGATTTGTAGAAATGCACTTTTAGGTCCATTCTGATCATGAAACTCAGCTGGAAGGCAAAACTTACCTAGGTGTCACCAAGAATTATGACAGAAATACTGAATATTAAGATTCAATGAAGCTCTTCAGTCCATTTTAAGATTTTGTCATGAGGTTAATATTATCAGCTTCTCATAAATATCAACTCTTTTAATCATCTAGAAATGAACAGAGAGCGAAACAGTCATTGTCAAAGATAAGTTGTCTTATAAAATTTTCTTAAGTAATTGAATATTATCAAATTTTTGAAATTTCTTCATTGATTTAACTCAGAAGCAGAGAGAATCCAAATTTGAATGTTGACACAAACTGTGGGTATGATTAACCATAACCATGTAAGTAATTGATCACTTAGAAAGAGGTGCAATCATACCCAACTCAGATTCCCTCATCTGTTGGCCTCTAGTTTTTATCAGTTCTGAATTCACCTTATTGTTCATTATCTCTATAACTCCATTCAATATAGTCACGTGTGTTTTTTTCTTTATCTTTGAAGTTATGTTCAACAAGAAGCAGTTCAAACTGCTTCAAAGTTAGCATTAGCTGTTGAACTTCTGAAGAAGATAAGCTCTGATTAATTCAAAGAAAGTGATAAAGTCGGCATAATGTTAGATAACAGAGCCCAATGTATTTTTAACCGTAATCAATTTTTGTTGCACGAGACTACAGTCAAGTCTTTGTTGGAAGCTTTTCTGGAAATTAGGAAAAGTTTACTTGCAAAATCGTGCCTTTTGACCCTATTTGATTCCTTTATTGATGGTCTCAAAGTGGTGTATTTCGGAAATTTAATTGCTTGGGCATCTCCTTATTAGTTCCAGAGGCGGATCCAGCAATTAGGTAACACCGGAGTTGTCTATTTAAACCTATGCTAAATAATCGTCTTTTTCCCGGAGCACCCGGCCCCTCCATAGGTTTAAATGGAGTAAAGACAATGTTGCCAATTTGTTGGACCCGCCAATGACTACTTCACTGTGCACATCCTCCAGAAAAATTCCTGCTGGCCACATTCACCCATGACTAGTTCTACCCATGACTCGCCAGTCCCGTCTTGGCGCTCAGTGGCCGCGTGGTGGCGCGCGAAATAAACACGAATAACGGTAAATAAAACGCAAATAAGCGTCGAGAAAACACCGATATCTGCTAGGTGTCTTCCAAGACGCGTTGCGTTGACCCTCGATCGTCGAGAATAAATAGTTTGTTTTCTACGGGAGATCGGATCGTGATGTGGGTGACTCACTCACTTGCGAAATCCTCGCTCCTGCGACTTATTTGTTTACAGTGCTCTTGAGCGCAGTTGCATAGTGCACTCGAAATCCCAATCTACCACTTTCTGAAAAGCATGAGGTCCCCCGGGACCTTATTTTTTTAGGAAGCGGGCTGATAGTTGAAATTGGACGTATTTCTATACGGACCTAAGCGCCATAGGGTGAGGAAGGTAGAGGGGGGCTTGGATTGGCGGCGGAATCGGGCGTCCGGCTTATTCCGACCTATACTCGCAATGCTTTTCCATGGCGCTTAGGTCCGTTTGACAGAACGCGCTATCCGGGATCCTAAATTCCTCAAAAGGAACTCAAATTGGCGCTTAGTTCCGTTTGATAGAAATACGTCCAATTGATAGACAAAGCTGTAGATAAAAAAGACAAAAAGCATATGGAAGGATTCTTTTATTGGTGGAAGCGGGTGGTTGCAATGGACGGAGGAGGTAGGTAATAGGCTAACTAACGGTAACCCATAGGAGACCCTTTAGTTAGTCCATCATTTTCTCCCTTAGTCTACAGGAACCACCAATTCCAATCAAAAGGATCGCTCTATTCTCCATCTGTTTTCCTTATCTGTCGCTTTGTCCATCAATTTCAACGATCAGCCCGCAGGTGCGCATTTCATGCAATTTAAAATCGAAAAATGTCGCGTGAAATCTTTCCGAAATAATAGCACAACGGACTTACAAACGCTACCTTGGAGATACCTGGACTGCCGTGCTGAGGTAAAACGGCGTTTGAACTTTCGAGAGTTGCCAAATTCCCTCCGATAAAGTATTTATTCTGGAAGGAAGTTATGTTTATTTTCCCTTGACATTTTCAGGTATTTTAATTTAAAAAGTGCGAACAAAATTGTCCGCAAAATCGGAAGTAAAATGTTCTCATTTTCCCCCTATAAATTCAGATTTTTTAGCGAAATTTGGCACCTCACCCGTGGAGAAGATACACAATTTCTAACCTGATGAACGATGTCACATACGTTTAATAATAAATGCGCGGTACATGCTGTTTGTATCGATTATTTTGCATTTTTCCGGTGATATCGCTCGGTTTGCACTATTATTTCATATTCCGCGGTTATCATAAAGTTACAGTTTATCTTCCGGCTGTATAGTGCTTCCCTTCCACCGAGTAGAAAGAGAGAAAATATTTGAAGAATCTTCTAGTTTTTCTAGTCAACACAATTCTCGTTTTGGCTCCAGGGTTAGCGAGAGTCAGACCAGTGTTGATGGTCGTTCACGCAGAAAATGAAAATGTCCCCGCTGTGGAAGAGAGAGAGCCTGGACTGATCTGTAGTTGTTTTGGTTTGGCAAAGGCGCCAAAGGTGTGTCACCAGCGTAGGAGCTGGATTGTCGACTTACAGTGGACCAAAACTCCAGTTCTAGCAGTGTAACATCTAAATTCCTTCTCCGTTCTAAACACGCATCGATGGCGAAACTTCCAAACCGCGTATCTCGGTTTTCGACGTTGCTGACCTCCTGTCATACTTTATTTTTTGAATGGAGAACTCCTCTTTGTCAATTCTTAAAAAGTTCTGTGATTTTTCTTCTCTGTGTGAAGTACCTTCTAGAAAAAATTCAAGGAATAAAGTCGATTTGTTCCCCTTTAAAAAATAAAATTGAAAAACTCATGGACACCCTGTTAAGGGTTGCCGCAACATCGTGAAATTAAAAAATAGTGTATTTCCTTCGGAAAATACACTAATTATTAGAGGTTCAGGAGATCGCCTTTTACTTTCTTATATTGTGCGCGTCTCTTGTCTTCTCAAAAATCTGTCTCGATGATTACATATGATTGCAATGATAAGTACTAAATACTTATCATTGAGCTATTTCTACGGCTCTGTTGAAAGGGGCGCGTTTTCTTCTACTACCTTTTATTTATTTATTTTTTCTTGTGACAAGTAACTTTTTCCCTTTGTGCGTCCTCTTAGGTCGTCTGCCGAGTGCAAAGTAATCCCATGGGTGTGTCACGTGTGCAAGCGCTGTTAACATCACGTGCCCTTGTTTCTGCTAGCTTGTCTCATTTTTTTATCGACATTTTTTTTGCTTTATCAAAAGTCTACTTTGTCATCGTTTTCACAGTCGCCAATTCTCAATTGAAAAAATTTAGCTGATCGCAAGTGGCATAGAAATTTTTAATCTCGGATGTAGGTCTCTTAAAAATCACAGATTACGTTGTTATTAGGGAAAAATTTTAAGACGGAGGTCCAGACCGCCAGACCCAGTCTGTGATAGTTTCAATCACACAGTATCACAGCGAAACGTTCAATAACTTACATTCGATTCTCCCTGCTGAAACAT